GAGGACAACCTGAAATGCAGATTTGCTTTTGCCAGCTCTCAGCCTAGGTTAATGAATTTAACCTGCACATCATAAAAATGCCAAAACACTGCAACTGGTTACATGGGGGAGGGGGCTGTGTTGGCTTTACTTGTGTTGTTTACCCACCTTGCCCTGTAATGTGTGTAACTATGAAGATGGAATAAAGTGTAACATTAAATCAATAAAAGAAAGCCTATGTCTTTGGGTTGATGTCAGGATTTAACAGTATCTATCTTTGTGAAGACATTTGCAAAGATGAAAGGTGTGGAATGTGAAGGCGATCTGGCTGCCACACTTGCCACCCGAGTGACTGCCAGCAGGTCCAGCTGGGCTGGCTCTCTAGGCGGCATCCCTCCCCCTCTGCTCCCCGTGAGCCCCGCCTGAAGCTGCATGCTTGGTTGTGGCAAAGAACCTTTCCAACAGATGATCATTCTTCTGTCAAGTAGCTGCACTCCCCTTCAAGACCCCCAACCAAGCTCTCAAACATTAAAAGTGTGAAATCCCACCACAGATCAGCAGTTGTAGGTATTTCCCATGAGGACAGAAAATATGGCCTTTGAATCCCCATTAAGCAGCAGACCTGAACTGCAAACAACTGCATGCAGTTACTGTATTTTGAATTTTTTCAATGAATTTTTGGTGCTTTTTTTTTAAGACATGGTTTGCTGCGTAGCCCAGGCTGGCTTCAAACTTGTGGTGCTCCTCCTGCCTCAGGCTCTCAAGTGTTGGGATTACAGGTGTGCACCCACCATGACTGTTATGTCAAAACTTTTATGAAAATTTTCTTTTTAAAATATGTATACAATACTGTTGATTCTGCTTCTTGGCCTGCAAACCCTAAAATATGTACCATCTGATCCCTTCTAGAATAAGTCTGCCAAGCCCTACTCCAGATGAACACTTGACAAATACATGCACTGCCCCTTGGATAGCTTATGGCGATTAAAAAACAAACAACTTTTGATCTACTCCCACCAACTTCTTATATTCCTGTCTTCTCAAATGACCTCTCACTCAACTGCTCAATCCAGAACTCTAGCGCCTTTCCTTTATATCTTGAACTCTAGCACTCTTCCTTCATAGCCTGTCTCATAATCTATTAATCCATTAAAACATTCTGTCAGTCTTGCACATGAACGCAACAGCTTTCATTTATCTACTTCTCTGAGTATCTGCTGCCTCTTCCCACCTCTTGTCCGCACTACTGAAACAGTCTAATTGGTCCTCCTGCTTCCAATATTCACTCTGTACAGGAATCTTTTTAAGATGCAAAGAACCTTTCCAACAGATGATCATTCTTCTGTCAAGTAGCTGCCATGCTTCCCGCTGCACAGAGAAGCCTCGTAACCACAGCGCTCTTGAGGCAAGAAAACACCTGCTGGTGACAGTGTAAAGGACTCAGGCATCTGGGGCACAGAGAATTTGTTTGCCATTAACTCCTCCCTGTCTACCACAGTCAAAGTCCACCACGCCCTCTCCTGCGCCCTCTCCTGAGGGCACTGTTCCCCTTCTCCTTCTTCTCCTTCCTCCTCCTTTCTTTTCTCTCTGTAGCTCCAGGTCCCGCAGTCTCCTTGCTGAAAAAACCAATCTCCTCTTTCTTGGTCTTTGCACCTACTGAACACTGTACCAGAACTATCTTCCTCTGTCCTTTGCTAGTAGATCAGGGCATATGGTATGTTTTCTCTTTCTCTTATTCTCCTCCTTACCTGGTTTACTTCCTCGTCACACTGGAAGGTAAGCGTAAGAGGACAGGCACTGCCCACATGCAATGGGAAACCACAGGGGAACTGGAAAATACTTACTGATAGAAGAAATTGCTAGATGTGGGGAAGTAACAGCTGCCATGGCATGTAACAGAGGTTCTATCCAAGCCTAATGGTCAGGGAGATTCCTAGATGACCCAAATTTACTTATTCACTTAGAGACAGTGTCAGGCCCCCTCCATCCTAGCCATCCTTCTGCCTCAGCCTCTCAGTGCTGGAATTACAGAGGCATCCCACTGCACCCCGTGAAGTGATATGACAACTGATATTTAAAAAGAAGAGGAACTGTCCCCTTGAGAGATGAGCATGAGAAAGAGGAAAAGTAGAGGCCTAGGTGAGATGGTAATGAGCAGTTAGACTGTAGAAACTGGAACCAGATCACTGGGCTTCATGAACAAGAGGAAGCCAATGAAAGGTTTAAGCTGGGCAGCAGTGAAAGTATCTCTTACTTTAGAAAGCCCATTCTAGCCACAGTATGTAAAGTATGAAGAGCAGCAAGACAGGAGACCAAAAACAAATAAAAAACCACCCCCCCAAAAAAAACCACCAAAAAAAGCAGTTAGGGGTCAGGGATATAGCTCAGCAGCACAGCACCTGCCTGGCAAGTGCAAAGTTCTGAGTTCAATTCCCAGCACACAAAAAAAGCAGCTACAAGGCTGAAGTATTAGGATAAAGGAACTGACATATTTAAGAGGGCTGGATATGTAGCTCAGAGGTACTTGCCTAGCATGTGCAAAGCCTTGGGTTCCATCCCCAGCACTGGAAAAAAAAAGGGTAGAGCACACGTAATTCAGTGGCAGAACACCTGCCTAGCACACACAAGGCCCTGGGATTGATCCCCAGCACTAGGGCAAAGGGTGGGGATAGCACGGTAGGACCAGTGTTACTGTGAGAGACGGGGGATCCAGGGATGCTCTCAGGTCTCAACCTTAGGCATTTGAGTGGATAGTGGAACAATTACAAACCCAGGCACAGTGGAGAAGGAGCAGGCTAGAGGTGAGGCACGGTATTCTAGACATACTGAGGTTGAAATGTCTGAATCTTCTACATAGCTGGTTTATTTAATTTTTTAAAATTTCATTTATTTATTTATTTATCGATTGATTGTCTTTTTGAGACAGTCTCAGGCTGGCTTTGAGCTCACTTTGTAGCCCAGGCTGGTCTCGAACTCGCAATGATCCTCCTGCCTCAGCCTCCGGAGTGCTGGGATTACAGGTGTGCACCACCATGCCCTGCCCTTCACAGCTGGTTTAAACATGTCTCTTAGAGATAAGCCAGGGTCCAAGCCCGTGATGCCTTCTTCTTTTCTATTATTTATTAATGGGCTGCATCTTGGTAGACCTGCACAGAACACTCAGCATTTCACCTCTTCCCCATCAGCCCCTCACTCCAGCCTCCCCTAGTTTCACACTTTTTCCCTGAGGGAAGGTTTCAATGTACACAATAGTTTGTTCCTATTATCCCCTCATTATCTGCTTTTACAGCCCATTCCCTCTTCTTCCCTTCCTCTGGTCTGATAATCATCTCCTACTATCTTGTCATCTTTTTTTAGATTCCATGTATTAAGAACACACAATATTCATCTTTCTGAGTCTGGCTTATTTTGTGCAACATGATGGGTCTCTGGATCCAACCAGTGTTTTGCCAATGACAGAATTTAATTCCTCCTTGTGGCTGAATGACACTCCATTGTATATATGTGCCACATTTCTTGATCTGGTCATCTGCTGATGGGCCTCTAGGCTGATTCCATATCTTGGCTATTCTGAATTGTGCTGCAGTAAACATGGGTACGCAGGCACCGCTATAGTATGCTGACTTTTAATTCCTTCAGGTATATACCATGGAGTGGTACAGCTGGATCAAATGGCAGTTCTATTTTCAGTTTTTTCAAGAGCCTCCATGCTGATTTCCATAGTGGGTGTACTAATTTACATTCCCAGCAGCAGTGTAGAAGGGTTTTTCCCCTACGCCCTCACTAGCATTTATTGTTTTTTGTATTCTTGAGGACAGCCATTCTGACTGGAAAGGGAATCTCAATGTAGCTCTGATTTGCATTCCCCTAATGTCTAAAGATGCTGAACTGCTCTTTTTATCAGTGATGAGTATATAGTGGACCCTTGTGATTAAAGGAAGGAAGGGAAGAAGGAAAAAATCCAAGTGGGCTTGTAGGTTAGGAAAACGAGATACAAAGTTAAAGATCATCACTATTTAAATGATTTAACTTCAGTGATTAACATTACTCAAGAATTACAAAGTTAGAACAAGGTGTAAAGAGCCCTGAAGAACTCCAGCACTATGACAGGTAATAACCACAATGTCTACTCCTTACTGAGTATTACACACCTAATTCCATTTGGTTGAAAATATTTGCTTGTTTTTTTTCTGAGGCAGGGTCTTGCCATGTAGTACAGGCTGGCCTTGAACTCATGGTGATCCTCCTGCCTCAGTCTGCTGAGTGCTGGGATTACATTTCTCCTTATGTATGCAGTCCTTCCCTGGGAGAAATGATCCGAGTACAGGTGTAGGAAACCAATGATTACAGGTCTCACACATACAGTATAAGTTAACATTTACTTAGTGATTACCCTGCAAAGCTAAGTACTTTACATGTATTAATTCCTACAATCCTATGAGAATGATTCAACACTAATAAGGAACTACAACAACACAGTGAGTGAGGACAGGATGAGGAAATAATTCAAAGAGCTCTGGAAATAGGGCTAGATTTCAAACAAAATCTTTCATCACAGAACTACTTTTTCTGAATAATACTTGAAAAACTAACAAGGTATTTTATTTGGCTTGATAGAATTGGCAGACTTCACATTTCTTTTTTCTTTTCAGTTTTTTGAGACAGGATCTTGCTATATAATTCAGGCTGGCCTCAAACTCAGTGATCCTCCTGCCTCAGCCTCCTGGGTGCTACATGCAGCACTATCCCTGGCTAGGTTCGACATTTCTTGAATACCCACTAAATGCAAAGTATAGCTGGTTTTAAGAATCCCCAAATAAGTAACAAATGGGAGAATTGTCTAGAGTGGGGCTTCTGCTGCTGTGGGTTGACCAGCACATTCTGTCCCAAGATTTCAACTTCCTTTGAAGATTCCATGCCCATTTTGCTGCCATAGCAACATCCTGGATTCTATTGCTGTATGTATTTTGCTTTCCATTTTTTTTTTCCTTTTCAATTAAAAAAAAAAATATTAGGCCATGTTTGTAGCACTGATTACATTTATTGTGGGGAGTTGGTACATGTACATTTTATAGACATTTTGATGGCTAGAGGACAGACATGAGACTCAAAGTTTTCTCCCAAGAAATTTAGTCTCTAGACCAGTAAGACAAAAACAAGAATCAGGCCTGGGGGTGCAGCTCACTCATAGAGTGTGCTTAGCATGCACAAGGCCCAGGCTCAACCTCCAGCACCAAAGAAAAAAACCCAACTCATCACCTCACAATGTACGCCCAGGAATTTCTGCTCCATGAATTCCAGAGCTAATCCTGATCTTGTTCTTCCAAATGCTGGTCCTCTGGCCCTTCCTTCCATTCCAGGAGCCATCCCCCATTCTTCCATAAATTCCTCTTCAATAAGGTTGGCCAGGGTCTGCTGAAATGCTTACAACCAAAAAATCTTGCACTGACAAAGGATGTAGTCACCTATGGAATATGTGCCAAGAACAGCAGACAGGTGGGCACAAGACATGATGGGTGGACTCCTTTCCTTTCCTACCTTCTTTCCCACCATGTTCACAGTCCTTACCATGGAGATGGGACCACGGCATGTCTCTTTTGAGAAGCCAACAAACCCCAGCTAAAATTCACCTTCTCAGCCACAAAGTCACATTTCTCTGAACACCATCCATATTTAACAATTTTTTTTTTTTTTGGTACCAGGAATCGAACACAGGACCTTGTGCTTGCCAGGCAGGCACTGAGCCACTGAGCTATATGCCCAGAGCCTTACTTAACAACTTTTGAGGAACATACTTTGAGAAGGTGATTACTTCTTGCCCTACCCCTAGTCCTAGATTCAACTCCTATTCACCATCACCCACACCAATGGCCATATTCTTGTACATACAGGAACTGTTTGTGAATCCTCTGCAGTTTTTATAAATGAGGTCTTTACTCCGCTTCCTTTGTGCCACTGCCCCCATCATGGACTTCTTATACTACACCGTAATTACTTATCTAGCTTTAGTAGTGGCCACCAACTTTTTTTTTTTGGTACCGGGAATCAAACTCAGGACCCTGCGTTTGCCAGGCGGGCACTGTGCTGCTGAGCTATATCCCCGGCCCAACCACGGACTTTGAGAGCGAAGTATTAATTGGGATTGGCATAATGCTTTGCACTAAGTGTTGCACAGTCAATCAAACAACAATCAAACATTACTCCTAATAAGGAAGTTGGGGAATATCATAGGTGAAGATCATGTGAATCAACCCCTTCTAAAAAAAGACAGGAAACCAAGCCATAGTAATAGTTTTCAGACTCTGAAAGGTAACTTACCTGAGGTTATTCAGTGGCAGATCAGGGCCCAAATCCAAGTCAGTGTTCTGGGGCTATTTGCAGAACCATTCCATTCTTCTTTCAACAAAACCTTGCTGCAAAGGGAACACTCGTTCTGCAGCTCTGTTCTCACATCTCTTCCACACAAATCACTCATCTAATCCACTGTCAATTCAGATTTCAGGACAAAGTTTATTTGAAGAAATTAAGTAACTATTAAATCTCCCTCCACTCCCATTCCAATTATCTACCCCTCCACCGCTCAACAGAGGGGCTATCAAATGTGGGATGGAAAAGGAGGCAGCGTGGTCCCACTGTACATTTACTCTCCAGCCTTCAGCATGTGCAGCCTCAGCCCTGAGTCCCTCTGACCATGGCGACTTGTTTAGAGCACTGGTGCTACCCTGAGCGCATTTTAGTCAGTTGCCATCTCCTGAGTTCACTGGTCACACTGATCACTGTGATCAACATACAAGTTTTCAGCGGTGGTGAAAGGCAGACAAGAGGCACAGGCTGGTGAGGGAATACCCCTATTAAAGAGGATTATATGAACGACACATGGAATGCTCAATTTGTTAAAGTGCTCAACTACATTTAAAAAGGTGGTGGGCAAGTGTCTACTGGTGAGAAAGCAAAGTTCAATCCGAAGGGCTTCTGAAAAGATGTAACAAATTGAAGTATGTAAAAATTCTGTTCGAGCAGTATCATTAGTAACAGGGAGAAGAAAACCTAATCTGAATTATTTGAACTCTAAATCAATTATCTCCAGTTGGAGACCAGCTCCTTTAACTCTTCACGGGTACTAATTAAAACATTTATCATTATGTTGTTTTGCTCCAACTCTGCTCTTACTAAATAACTTTTTAGTCTGAACTCTGGTTTCCTCCATGGATATCAACACAATTAAAAAAAGTTCCATTCTGGGTAAGTGACTGATTTAAGGATATCCTATACTCTACTTTTGTACAGGGTGGTTAGCAGAAAACTGGGCGATACGATAAATCTGGAGCTTCCAAATCTACCAAGTAGAAGCTCATACTCAAGAACAAGAAGTCCAAAATACCTCTAATCGCTTGGCATGATTACAAGACACAGGACTGGTGAGGGAAGGGTTATGTATCCACCAGCAGCAGTGGCTATCTTGTTGTGGGAGTTAGTGTACAACCTCAGCAGTCACTTGTAAGTCCAGTGGGCAGTAGCCCAACCCCGGTCCTTGCATAGGTCTCGGTGGCGAAGGAAACAGGCATGGACCCGGAACCGTCGACCACAGTGGGGACAAGCATGCAAGGCCCCAGCATGGGTCTTCATATGCTCAGTCAGATGATGCTTCAGCTTGAAGCGCTTGTTGCAGATGCCACAGCCAAAAGGCCGAAGACTGAAAGTCAGCATGATGTGTCGGTCACGTTTTGGCTTTACCGCAAACCGCTTCCCACACAAGCAACCAAAGCGCTTTCCATCCGCAGGGGGCGTTCCCCCTAGCTTCACAGGCCCATGCACTGCCTGCCCTGCTCCCCCAGGTCCTCCACCCCCAGACAGGATTTCATTCCCATGAAGATCCACTGGCTTCCAGGAGGGACCCCCACTTCCAGATGTTGCTCCTGCTCCTGAGGGCAACAAAAACCTTAGCTCCCCATTCTCTTCAGCGTCCCCTCCAGGGAAAACTTTGGTCTCTTCCTTTGCTCCTCCAGTCTGAGTTCCACCTCCTGCTATTTCCTCCTTAGGCTCATAAGGTTCCTGCTTAATGTAGAAGACTTTGGGGGACAGTGCAGGAGAGGCAGGAGGCTCAAGCGGCACACTCTCGCCCTCTGGAAGCCTGTGGGGAGCTGCGGATATGGGCACTTGGCGGGAGCCACGAATACAGGGAAAACTCCCTGCTACTCTCTGCGGTTGAGGAGCCTGAGAGAGTGTGGCTGCTGACTCCTGGTCCTCTTCTTCCTCCTCCTCCTCCTCCTCCTCCTCTTCCTCTATCTGAATCTGCAACACTTCTCCCAGTTCGCTCCCCTCCCCTCCGGTGGGGCTCTCGGTAGAGGCAGGACTCTCGGTAGCCGTGGAGGACCGCACTGGGGTCTGGAAAGGGGCGGAGCGAATGCACCAGCCTCCTGGAGAGGCTGCGGTGGAGAGCAGCGTGTGGCAGGAGGCTCCTCCTCGGGCTGAAATCCCACCGCCCGAAGTTTCTAGTTTTCTGAGAATCTCTGAGCATTGATCGACTACTTGCCACATCTGAAGGCCACTGGCCACAAGGAGATGGGCCGGAAGAGCGTCCACTGGCAGGCGGAGGTGCCCTGAGTAAATGAGCTGCAGCAGCCCCTCGAAGGCGTCGGCTTCGATGACACTGGGCAGGGTGAGGCGGGGCGCGTCCCCCAGGAGCAGCTTGTCGTGGAAGTACGGAGAGGCGGCGGCCAGCACCGCCTTGTGCGCCCTAAGCTCCCGGCCCTGCACCAGCAGGGAAACGTCACAGAACTTTCCCTCCAGCCGGTGGCGGTTCAGGGACTCCAGCAACACCGAGCTATGCCGGGGGAACGCGATGTGAATTGTCCGCGGGCCCGGGGTGCAGATCGGGGAGAGGGTCTCGGGAGGCAAAGGCGTGGAAGAATCCATGCTCTCGGTCAGACCCCTGAAGACTGCGAAGAGATGGGAGTTTGGGGTAAACTTCACGCAGGACAAAGGCCAGGAAGGAAAAAGATCGGGGGGCGGGGGACACAGAAGCCCCGGACAGGGAGAGCCGGGTCTCCCCAAACCACCCCTCCCCCCAACTTGGGAACTTTTCAGGCAGCGGCAGTTTCGGCAGATGAGTCCCGCCCACCAAGAACAAAAACAGCGCACCAACCGGGGTTTTAACTTCCAGGCCCTGTGGGAAATGAGGAGGCGCTTCAGCCGGGACCTCGACCTCGCCGGCCGCAGACGGCCCCTTGCCCCGCCCCTCCGTTCCGCCTCACGTGCGCCCAGAGGCTGGCTCTCGGGAAAGCTCGGCTGCCCAGACCCCACGAGGCCGGGCCGGCTGCTTTCCCGCCGACACGCCCCCGCCGTTACACACGCAACCCTGGACTCGCAGCACCCCAGCCGCTACCACGCCGTCCCAGGCCGGAAGCCACCGCCTCCTCGCCGGACGCCGTAGCCGGGAGCGTAGGGCGGGACTGAGGCTGCAGCCAATCGCAGGGCGGAGACCTACAAGCCTCGTGCTGATTGGTTGCACCGACAGGCGGGGCGGGGCCGGTAGAAGGCGGTGGTCCGGCAGCCTGCGGGTGGGGCGTGGAGGGGAGCTGGCCGCGGAGGACGTGGACCGTGGCTCCGAGGGTGCAGCGTTTCCCGGTGATTAAGCGTACGCCTGTCCTACCCCGGTGGGCGCTGAGAGGAGTGAAATTATTGGGCACCTGTGTGGGCTGGGCACCTGTGTCCTCCCAGCAGCCTGGCGAGGTAGGTGTGGCCGCCCTCCGTTTCCATGGGGCAAACCGAGGCTGGGAGAGCCGCTCTGCTGGCAGGTGGCGGGGTCGGGAACCCAGACTTGTTAAGGAACCGGGTGCTTTCCTCCGATTCGCACCGCAGCATTTTAACAATTAAATAGTCTTATTTCCAGGCGATCGCTTGGAGAAGGATGTATGCTTGGACTCTGCCTCTGCTCCTTCAGGCTAAGTAAAGCGACTGGGGCGGGCAGGTGTGGCCAGCGCGACTCCTGCTCCAACGCAGAAATCTCTCTGGCTGGGAGAGTGACATTCGAGGGGACTGTGGCATCAGGCAGGGATCTATGGCCTTGACCCCAAGCTGTCAGCTTCCTCTCAAGAAGGAGATCCTGTCGCCCTGCTGTCGGGCCCAGAGACCCAGGCTAAGAAAGTCAGAGCAGCGATAAAAGAACAATCTCCGTTTATTAAACATGATTTTTCTGTTTCACCACACACTCCAGAAAAAAAGGAAATGGGGCTGGGAGGAAGTGGGCAGTGGTTGGGGACAGAGAAGGCTGGGAGAGGGGCGGGGAGGGAGAACGAGAAAAGAAAATAAAACGGGTAGAAGAGCACCTCCCTACCCTTCGGGTGGGGGCGGGGAGGGGGCAGAAGGCGGGGGAGGGGCCGGGAAGCTCTGTACAGAGGGGTCGCCCCCAGCCCACACACACACACCCCGGATATGTACAGTACAAACCCCAGATAATTACAACAGCCAAAGAAGAGAGGAGGAAGGGGGTCCTAGGGCAGGGCCTGAGGTGGGGAAAGCAGAGAGGGCACAGGGATAAAATTTCACATATTTACAACTTTTATATAAGTATAAATTTGGCCCCGGCTGGGTGTATGTGTATAGAGGGACGGGACGGACGGGGAACTGTCCATACAAAAGAAAGAAGGGTGGAGTCTGGAAGTCTCAATATCAAACGCAAGAAGGGATGAGGGCACAAGGCTGGGTAGGGGACGGCAGTCAGGGAAGAGGGGTTGCCAAGGAGGGGCTTCTTCCTTCCCATGGCCGGCCCACCCCAAGCCCCATCCATCCTACCTCCCCTATCCCGCCAGAGAGCTATGTACAGAGAAACACCGAAAAATTGTGGACTGGCGGGAGGGAGGCAGGTGGAGGGAGATTGGGGCGGGGGAGGATGAGAGGGAAGCCCAGCCCTGTCCTACCTCCCCAGGGGGACAGAGTCATGGAAGGGGGCCCCCCAACACCCCCCTCCAACGCAGGTCCCCCCACCCTGGGGGAGAGAGACATGGCTTTTCCTAGAGTAAGTTCCCCCCTCCCCCTGGGAGTAGAGACCGAGAGAGGGGAGGAGCAGGGGAGACTGTGTGTTGGGGTAGGACAGATCCACTAGCCTGTCCTCCCCAACACACACGCCCTCCTAAACCCTAACCCCTCGCCCTAACCTCAATTCCACCCCACCCAACACACTGGGGGAGGGGGGGGCATAAGCCCCCTCACCCCGCTCTGGGACCAGCCGAGAGCAGATCAGGTGTGGGAAGAAGGGGAGAAAACTCCCATTCCCCCCTTGCCGCCCCCTCCCTGCCCCGGTGGCCCCCTCCACCCCATCTGGGTTCTGGGTGGGGAGGGAGTAAATTTAAGAGTGGAAGGAGGAGGAGTTTGTGCGTGCTGAGCCCCCCCAGACGCTCCTGAGAAATCAAGGGGTAATAGGACCCCCTCACCCGGGGTCCCCTCCCCATAACAAGGGGGGCAGGGGAAGCCAAAATGGGGCGGTGGAGGGGAGTTAGATTGTCAGCTCTGGTTACTGCTAAAAAATCACCCTGAAGTTGAAAGTTTGGAGGTGCCACACCCCTAGGGTGGGGGTGAGGGTCTGTCCCCCAGTGCTCAGGGGAACGATGAGGCAGAGGATGGGGATAGCACCCCGGAGTGGAGGGGTCTGTGTAGGGTAGGCGGTGTCCTGGGGCAAGGGTCCCTGGGGGTCAGAGAGGGGGCAGCACCCCAACAGAAAGGAAAAGAGGGCGGCTGAGGGTCCCCCCTTCCCTCCTGGAAATGGTGCGATGGGGCGGGGGGCCAGTGCCCCCCAAGGAGGCGTTCGGGGAGGCAATGCCGCTGTCCCTCGGTGACGTCCAGTCCTGGTGGTTGATGCTGTTCTGGGGTGGGGTGCAGGGAGGAGGAGGAGGAGGTCTGTGATGCTGGGCGGGCTAGTGGTCTGCGGTGTTTCGGAACTCGCCGTTCTCCGTGATCTGCAGCCGGGGTGGGGGGGGCGGGGCTGGGGGGGCCAGGCCGTTCCAAGGTGGGGCCAGCGTCACACGCGGGTTTGTTGGACCCAAGGGGGGAAGCTGCCTCTCCTGCAAGACACCAAAGAGGAGAGCGCGGACTTATTGAGACGCTTCGCGGGGGCCTGACTGCCAGCCCCCAGCAGTGGCCACCCCATAGCCACCCCTCCAGACACCGGGTCCACCCTCCCCGCCCCCCAGCACAATCTCCAGCTCCTGCTGCTTCTCACCTTCAGGATGCTCTGGGATCGGGGAGACTCTCACCCCCAGACTCCTGACCGGGGCCTTCAAGCCTTCAACCCCATGTCACACCAGGAAACCAGCTCAAAGGCAGCAAGCTCCCATGGCACCCCCACCCCCACGGCTTCACCTCCGTGCTCCTGCCCAGCCACCCTCCTCCTCTTGGCAGTCCTCACCCGGCCCGCCCCCGGCCCAGGTAGGAACTGTGCATTGAGGAGCCAGGGGAGGCAGTACAGCAAAACCTCGTTAATCCAAACCCCTGTGGATTTGGAATTTTGTCATAATTTGAACGAGAACCGGGCCCGAGTTTGCCTTTATCTGTGAAGAAAGGGTGTACCAAGCAAACCAGCAGTGGGAATGTGTCTGTAGGAGGGGGCATTTAACCTACAGCAGCAAACAGACTTTTCAATCCTATCCATTCACTAAGGCATGCTGAGGGCCGGCGTGGAACAAGCCTTGTTCACCGAGTTCTACTTACTGTATATATTTTGAAGACATGCATTTCATTAAATAGACACTGTCATTCAGTTTTGTCACTTATTCAGAGTGGCCATCTTCTCAAATATAACATCCCAAATTAGAGAGGTTTAACTGTACTGGGGGGAAAGGAAGGGGATTCAGGGAGTGACGTGGGAAGGGAAAGCTCGTGGGAAGGCTGCCTCTTTCTCTCTTACTTGGCGGAAGTGACTAGGAGCTTGCACGGAGACACAGCCGGCCCAGTCTGCACCCCCGGGAAGCAGAAACGGCTCCATTCCTGTCCTCCCCCACTTTCCTTTCAGTCCCCTCCCCAGGCTCCCAGCTGGAGGGCGCGGGCTGGCGACCCTACTCCCACCCCTGGTCCTATTCTCATCTCCTATGGCTCGTGGACCAACTGCTGGTTCCTTCTGTTCCTCTGCAGGGAGAAAAGAAAATCACCCGAGTCCCCCCCTGCTTCCGGTCACACGCTTAGCTTTTTAAAAATCTGGACTCAAAATTAATTTTTCAGTTAATGGCTGTGCGTGGCAGAGGGACCGATACCTACAAGTGGTTTAGAAGAAAGGTCCAAACTACTTTCTGGGGCACAGGGCATTTAGGCCTGGCAAGGTGGCTATGCTTGGCCAAGCACCACGGGATACAGTAAGGCTCCAAATCAGCTCTGCTCTCCCTCCCAGGACACAGAACTCACCTCTCAGGTCACCCACACCCCTGCCTTAGGCAAAGCGCCCCTCTTAGCTTGCCAGTCAGTGGGACAGGAAGTGACGCACAGTTCGGGCGCAGAGCGCGGCAGGGGAGCAGAGGAAGGAACCTTCAGACTGCCTTCCCTCTGCTGTCTGCCTGTGACGGCGCATGGGCATGCCCCCTACACCCCCATGCACCCAAATTTAGAAAGCAGATAAATAAGGGTGCCGTTATTCATTTTACAAAAGAATTCCCGGCAGGAGCCCTTGAAATGGTGAGGTCCCCTGGTGCCTTTGAGCATCTGTTTACAGATCACTAACTACTCTGACAGAGAGGCTGGGCTAGCAGAGTTAAAATTACAGCGTGAGGGGCCACTGCCCACTGCGGCTCACTCCCACAGAAATAGAGCGTCTCAGAAGTGATGTCTGTGGTTGACAGGTTCCCATTTACTGGCTTTTTTAGGCAGGGTGATGTGTCCAGCAAAGCCACTGGGTGGTGGGAGACGGGGAGTGAGTGGCGTTAGCAACCCACGGATGTGAGCTACAGCAAGACTAGATGCATGCCCATAATGCCAGCACTCGGGAGGCCGAGGCAGGAGGACTGATGCAAGTTGGAGGCCAGCCTGAACTACATACATAGTTAGACGCTTTCTCAAAAAAACAAAGAATAACAACAACGAGAAAAAGAGAATAGAGGTTACTCAACATGCTGTTCCTGCCTGGGAATGGCCTGGCTGCTGAGCCCACGGTGTGATCTGGGAAGGTCTCTCCTCACCTCGGCCTCCCCAGGTATAGGGGCAGGTCCGCATCCTAACATCTACCCTGGTTTGCTTCCTTCTTTTTCCACTCATCCTGGCTACTGTCAGGACGGCTCAGCGCTATGTCTTCCAGGGCCCCTCCGAGTCCCTGAAGTAACCGCCACTCCCAGTTCCCCCTGCAGGGCTAACGAGAGCCCCAGGTGCAGTCTACGCTCAGGTGTAAGAGGAGGGTGAGTGAGAGAGGAGCGGGAGGAAGGAGGGGCAGAGCGCCAGGATCAGGGAAGAAAGAGGGAACCCCAACCTACCTGCGGTGCGCCACACAGCCCCTATGGCCAGGGCCCCCACCCACCCCCTCTGCCCCGTTAACGAACCCACCCCCGACATCCCACTCCCAAGGACGCTCTGGTGAAATGGGGGGTGACAGACATACACTGGAGAGGCAGAGGAAGAGAAGGGCGTGGTCAGGAGGGCAGGGAGAGTGTTCTGGAGGACGGTGTGGCCTGGCCGTGTTCGGGGCCTGTGTAGGGTCCGGCGGGACTGCGGAGGCCTGAGGGGCAGGTGTGCTCACTGGGTGGTGCTGGACAGCTGTGTCAGGAGGTGGGGTCTGTGGGGGGCAGCAGTGAGGGGAGAGGCTCTGGACAGTTGGAAGGGCGGGCTTCACGACCAACCTGCAGTGGTCCGGAGTCACCTCCCCCTGTGTCCTCCGCCCGTGGTCAAAGCGGAACCAGGAGAATTACCTGATGAGGAGCTGCAGGGGGAGAGAGCGGGGTCACGGGGTCAGGAGCCTTGGTGGCGGAGCAGGGAGGCCTGGTGGTCAGAGCAGAGGAGGCAGGAGGGCCGCGGGGAGGAGAGCAGGGTGAGGGTGCAGAGGGAGAGCCTGGAAGGCGGTGGGGGGCAGAGGGCGCAGCAGAGGTGTGCGGCGGGCCAGGGCGGGAGGGAGCTCCGGAGGAAGGCTGCATCGAGGGGAGAAGGCTCCAGGGAGGCTTTGTGAGAGACGGGGGAGAAGCTGGGAGGCAGCTGCCAAGGAGTCGGAGCAGAAACCAGGAGAACAGAGGTAACAGGGACCCCAAGTCTCCAGGGCACCCGTGCTCCACTCCAGCACAGAGCGACTTCTAGTGCTCCTGGCCCAAGAAGAGCTCAGAGGAAGCCGAACTCCCTGCCTTGGGCAAACAAGGGGCCGGGCTTCTTGGAACCAGGCAGAAGCAGGCGGCTCTCGGGGCAGAAAGGCCCAGGCTCTGGTAGAAGACCCTGAGACACGGACGGGGGGCGGGGGGGGGAGGAAGGCACGGGGCGGGTGGACACTGCCGGGGTGACCAAGGCACAGACGATGGGATGGAGATGGGTCGATGGGGGGCCGCGAGGAGCAGCCAGTGGACAGACGGAGGACAACAGGAGACGGATGGCAATGGGGCTGGGCTGGCCGGTGCGGTGAGTGCACAAAGGACAGTGGGATGGATGGGGATGGGACACGGAGAAGATAAATGACATTGTAATTTCCACCTGAGCGTCGAGCAGCCTCTTCTTGGGTTCAGGCAGGGGCTCAGCCATGGTGGGGTGGTCCCGGCGCAGCTCCTCCTCCACCAGCATCAGCCTGAAGGGACGGGCTTCAGTGGGGTTAGTGGCGGGCACAGGCTCAGAGGCTGCCCACACAACTCCTGGCCCAGGAAGCCCCTGCCACTCCCCGGGAAAGGCTCGGGCCGCCTCTCCCGCCCTTGGCATCCCTCCACTGGCGTCACCCAGAAGACTCCTTGTCACCCGGGATCCTCACATCTCCCCGCTGAGGGAGCTTCCTGTGTGCCTCCAAGACCGCAGTCACCAGACGGCCACAGCCCTCCCACAGGGACAGCGCTGCCCCTGCCCAAGACTCTGGCTGGAGACCGGGCTTCTCTGACTCCCACGGTGAACCAGGCCAGCTCGGGTCCCTCAGCCCAGAGAGGCCTCACCCATCCTCGTCATTCCCAGCATCTCCCTGCCTTTGATGGACTCTCAAGGTCATTTCCCGTAAAGCCTCTCAATTGGAACAGTGGTTTCAGAAAAGGTTTCAGGTCAAGAACTGCTTTTCTCCTAATTAAGTCTTACTCAAAAATCTGTAACGGATCAAGATGGAGCTGGCTCTGGCTGAGTAGACCGTGGGGCCCCTGCCCCCGGCTCTCAAACTGACCCCTTGCCGGGACCTGTCCTTGGGAGCCAAATGCTTGGCAGAGCAGCTGAAGCCACTCGGGGACTCAAAGACCCTTTCTGAAGCTGGAGAGGAAGGCTCTGCCCAGGAACGGGGTGCTCAGGGGCCTCTCTGGCTACAGCTGCCTGCTTAGCTTTCGGGGCGAACCTCACAGGCTGACTTGTGAATACCCAGTGGGAGCCCCCGGTCTAGGCTTTGTCTAGGTACACTGGCATTTTCCCAGGGTTGCAGAAGTATGATCGTGACAGACCTCAGGGCTTGGTAAAAGGCGTTTGGTGCCCTCAGCAGGTTTTGCCCTCTCTGGTGACGGAAGGATGAGTGATGTCCCAGGGCAGTGGTTCCCCCAGTGTCTCCCCAGTTGGGGGGGGCGGGGGCGGGAGGAGCAGCTGGCCTGCTTGCTCCCTTGTGCCTCAGGCGCTCGAGGCTACCCTCCCCGGGCCGCCCCTCACCTGCCAATGATGCTCTTGATCTGTGAGTCCTTCTCCACCTGCTGCTGCCTCAGCCTCTTCTCACTCTGCTCCAGGCGGGCCTGATACTGCATCAGGATCTTGCTGGTCTGCTCCTCCTGGGACAGCAGCCTCCGCTCGTACTCTTCCAGCTTCCGGTTGGACATGTGCAGCCGCTCTTTCAGTGAGTGGATCTCCTCCTCGTACTCCTTCACCTGCCCGCCGGGCACACAACCCCGCACTGTGAGGGGCGCCTGCCCCGACCCCACCCGCCAGCCCAGTCCCTGTCTGCCCAGCACAGCCACTGCCTGGGCCAGGGGCACACAGCCCTCTCCCCGCCTGGTGGACACACTTGCCCGCCATGATGCTGAGGTGTCCTCAAGATGGAGCAGGGTCTCAGAGGCCACACTGAGGCGTGTCTGCGGCCCCACACATGCGTGAGAGCAGAGGAGGACCCACCCCCAAGCCGGACTCGGACACCCTGAGAAAGTGTGCCCACAGACCAACCACAAAGTGACTTCAGCCAGAGGCCAGGACGGGCATGTGGAGGAGGCACAGGAAGACAGAACACTGGGTGGGGCCTGGGGGGGGCCGTCCTACGTGGGACTCCCTCCTGGCCGTGTCCGGGGGACTGGTGCCCGAGGGAGTCCCCGCCTGAGAAATAGGAATGCCTCTCTCTCAGCCAACCCTGGCACTCTGGGGCCTGAGTGTGCAGAAGAGTCGCTTTATCTGCCCCGCTGGCTGTGGACTCCAGAGTGTGCTGCTTTCCTTTGACGGCAGCCACCCCCCAACGTGCAGCTATTTTAGTGTTTTGGAGTCGAGTCCCAGGGATCAAACTCAGGGCCTTACACATGCTAAGCACATACTCAACCACTGAACTCCGCCCCTACATACATGTAACTATGGAAGTGTTCAATCACGCTAAAACGTTTAGTTCCAAAAGTGCCACGAGCCACCTAACGGCTGCCACGATGAACACTGCGGGTCACAGCAGCGAAGGGGCCTTGACCATCCTCTAAAGAGGACACATACAGAGCCGGCCTCACTCCGGACACCAAGGGCAGATGTGTCACCCAGATGTGCAGCTCAAACACAGCCCCCTCAGCCCTCGCCCAGCTGAGAGGCTCCCACCGCTGGGGAAGCAGCTTTGGCTCTCCTGAGCAGTCCCTGGCGCAGGACTCTGGTGCCCCGGGGAACATGGCCTAAAATAAAATACACTTCCTCCCAGGTGGCCCACAGCGTTCGTAACCCGTGAAACACCGAATGGGCTTTGAGACAGGCTGAACGGGTCTGGTCTCCTACAACAGGCTGAAGGAGGCCTGCTCCAGACAGCACCAGGTCCGGTCTTTTCTTTCCCCCACAAGCCCGCCCGAGCCTGGCTGTTTCCCCTGCACTGACTGAGCCTCCCCTGCGGGTGAAGAAGAGCTGGGTCTGGGTGGCGGGGGCCACCGTACCCTGTCTAGTCGGCTCTCATCCATGGATTTCGAGTACTCCTTGAGCTTGTACTCTTCCCGCTCGATGTGGGCGCTCTCGATGTCGGCGGACAGGTGAGGCATGTTGGAGACCCAGGCCACCGTCCGCTCCGAGGCCGGCATGGTGGGGTTCAGCGTGGACGGCGTCTGAGAATGCTGAGTCGGGCAGGGCAGGCGCCCGAGAGCAGAGGGAAGGAAAGGGGGGTGCGATTGGAGGGCGAACACAGCCATCAGAGACGGAGGTCTCCGACCGTTCCCCTGCTCGGGCCCCTGTCCCCTCTGGACATGAGGGAAGGGACTGCATGCCTCGCCTGAGTGAGGGCGCTATGAGAGCAGGCATTTTTGTCTGTTCACCACCGCATCCCCAGGGCCTAAAGCGCACACAGTGCAACGCCGCCATGCCACACCCTCTACATACGCCTGCCAGCAGAGAGGAGAGCAGAGCATGCGTGGATTCAGCAGTGCCCCCCACCCACCCGGCCCTTCCCTACCACACCCCCCCTCTGCCTACCCTCGCCTACCTGCTTGGTGATGGAGGGCTTAAGCCCCCCACCCCCTCCGCCACCGCTGCCCCCGCTGCCCCCGATGCTGCCCTCCTTGCTGAGGCTCTGTTGCCGCGGACGGGCGGGGCCGTAACTGGGCTCCGGGGACTGCAGCAGGTTTCCGCTGGACGGCCTGGGTTTCTGGGCCGCGCTGACTGTCAACTGCTGGGACTTTCCTCTCTGTAGCGGAGGCGGCTGGCCCCCGCCACCACTGCCCCCGCCACCCCCGCCACTCCCCGCCCCGGGCCCCGAGGGGGCTGGCCTCTGGGGACCGATGGTGATCTGGGGAGGGGACAGCATGTGCTGCAGGTTGTCCTGGAGTGAGAGCTGCCGACGGGTGAAGTCAGTGCCCGAGGGTCCAAACTCATCACTATAGCTGTGGCTGTGCAGGATGGAGGCGGCAGGGGGCTTGGGGACCCCAGAGGAGAGGTCCTCGCTCTTGCTGTAGCCGTGGAATGGGGCGAAGGTGTCCCCTGGGGGCTCCCCACCTCGGTGGTGGTGATGGTGGTGGTGATGGTGGTGGGAGGAGGGTGGGCCGTGGCCGCCGCCCCCTGCGTGGCCTGCCGGGGGCCCTGGGCCGTCAGCCGCCATGTGGAAGAGAGGGTTCTGGAAGGAGAGGGGGATGCGCAGCTGCTGAGCAGGGACGCCATCCGTGGTGACACCCATCTGGCTGAGGCGCATGCCGGCCGCCGTGATGGATGAGCCGCTCCCCTGGGAGAGGCGTCCAGGAGGCGCGGGCCGCAGCCCCAAGGCTGCAGTCAGAGAGGCCTGGCTTGAGTGCAGCAGGTCCCCAACAGCCGCCAGGTTGGAAACACTGCTGCTGTTGAGGCGCCCGCCAGGCCCGTCGCCCTGCAGGTCCAGCATGGACACGCTCTTGTTCACACTCAGCATCTTCTGCTCTGGCTCCGTGATGTCCGAGCTGCTCGTGCAGTAGGCCGGCGAGGAGCGGGCCAGGGGCGGCCGGCTCACATAGAACAGGTCTTTCCCCCCGCCAGGTGGCGGCGGGGGCGGCTTTTCCTTGGTTGGGGACGGGATGCGAGCCATGTCCATGGAGCTGTAGGAAGGGAAGGTCAGGCCATGGGTGAGCGGTGGACCCGCGGGCAAGGGCTGAGAGCCGGCGTTGGCAGCGCTGGAGACGCAGGCAGGGAGGGCCCAGGGAGGCAGCAGAAGGGAGGGCGTGGCCTCTCCGGGAAGCGGGTGATGGGGGCAGCAGGAGGGATGAGGAGATGAGGTGCACTGCAGTGGCGAGGAGAAGAGGGCAAAGGCCAACGGAGCAGGAGTGGCAGCCGACAGGAGAGGAGGAGAGGAGGGCTGGGGAGGGGAGAGCCCCTCACCTGTTGAGGCCTCGAGCCATGAAGGACTGAAGGTCGATGGAGCTGGAGAGAGATGCAAAGAGGGGCGAGCAGACAGAGAGGAGGAGAGGTGTGGATGGATGGACGAGCCGTGGGAATGGGGGTGGGGTGGCGTCATGGAGGGGAGGTGAGCAGAGGTGTGGCACAGGGTCATTAGATAAAGGGTGAGAGCCGGGGCCGGGACGGATGCTGGGGCCTGCTCAGCTCCTGCTGTTCTTAGTGCGGCTCGTGGAGAGCCCTCCGTGCTGGTGGAGCGGGGGAGCCGCTTATTTAACAAACTGCACAGAGATACGAGCTTATTTGGCAGCCGACGCCTGAACCAACATGTGGAGGCTCAGCCCAGCCCGGGGAACGGCACGGGCAGGGCAGGGGAGAGCAGAGCTGCAGGATCCCTCGGCTTACATCTAAGCTGGGAGCTGGAGCGGCTACCGACCCTCCTGGGGCTCCACGTCTCTGCTCCCCTAGGCTTTGAAGGGCTCTCAGCCTCTCACTGTCTACCTGTTTCTTTACTGTTTCCCCTGAGAACTCACTGCCTCTTCCCTTCCTTGCAAGCCCTGGGGAGAGGCGTGTGGGGCCCAGTGAGAAGTCTCCAGCACGGCCAAGCCAGAGCTCCGGGGCACAGGCTGGGGTCGCGGGTGCTCACCTGTTGAGGTCCCGCATCATGTAGCCCTGCATCTCAGCCGATGGCCCCCGCAGCACCACAGGCTGAGGCCGGGGCCGCTCGCTCTGGCGGCTCGGCTGCCTTTGGATGTTGGGATTCCTCAGGGCCGTGCTGATGTCGTTGAGGAGCCGGGGCAGTGGGCCCAGCTTCAGGAGGGCCTCCTGGAAGGGCAAGGCTGTCACCTGGGGCCCAGTGCCCAGCCTAAGAGGGCCTTGGAAGGCAGAAACATCTGTACAGGGGTCAGTTTCTCAGGCCCCCGGCACCTTCGGGGAGCCCGGGGAGGGCCCAGGGCAGGGCGTTTACTGACCTTGCTAAGCTGGGGCAGCACCTCCCAGAGCAGGGCGTGCAGGGTGGAGAGCTCTCGGCCCAGGTCAATGTAGCCCTCGAAGCTACTGCTATTGGTCAGTGTGTCCAGGTTGGAGATCTCGTACAGGAACTGCTGCATAGAACCCCACTCCAGCTCCAGAAACTCATTCATGAAACCCAGAAAGTCCTCCTTTGAGGTAAACCTGGCCGGGGTCCGGAAGGCAGAGGTCACACACGCACAGAAAGCCTCATGCCCACCCACCGCAGGGGCTCTGGGGACTCGGGAGACCCCCGCCCCCGATTCTGTCGCCCTTGGCCCCGCCCCTGCTGGAAGCATCCCTCACTTGGAAAAGTTGGCCAGGTTCTGGATGACCTTGGCGATGAGGGTGAGGGTTCGTGAGGTCTGCTCGTCCGGGTACTCCTGCATGAGCCCAAACAGACTGGGCGACATAATGGCCGGGCAGAGGAAGCGCAGGAAGAGCGAGGCGCTGATCAGCCTGTCGGCGATGTCCTCCCGGCCCCGCTCTGCGCAGCGCAGCCGCCAAGACGCAAACACCTCCTTCAGCTCCCTCGGGAACACGCTGGGGGGAAGGGGTGGGGAGACAGAGAGAGAGAGAGAGAAAGAGAGAGACCGGGACTGAGCCCCAGAGACCCTCAGCTCCCAGGGAACATGCTGAGGGGGGTGGTAGGAGGTGAGGGCGTGGAAACAGAGGTGAGAGAGACGGGGAGGCAGGGAGCGCAGGAGGAGGGCAGGAGGCTGCTGGAAAAACGCCCGGGAGAGGGCACAGACCGATCGGGGAGAGAGAAACGGAGTGGGGAGAAGGCGAGGGCAGAGAGACACGTGGCAGAGAGACGGAGGGGTGTGTGAGAGAGACAAGGAGAGGAGGAGAAGAAAAACAGACACCAGGGAGAGACAGAGATGGGAGAGAGATGGAGGGTCACTTGAGGTACAGGGAGCTCGGACCCCCCAACTCATAGGATTCCAGGGAGATGGGGATGGACTTGCCCCAGGCATGATCCCCGGTCCCTGGAATGGCTGCGAGCTCACTCTCCCCTCCCCCCAGCTCCACTTCCGTGTCCCACTAACACCTTAAACTCGACTAGTGTAACACGGAGCCGGCTCACCATCGCCCCCACACCTACAACTGGCTCCTCCCCGACTCCCCGGGATCTGCCATTGAGGCCACCAGTCTCCCAACCCCCAGCCTCACGACCTCCACACCCCTCTCCTTTCCAAGCAAGCACGTGTCCTTCCAGAGGGCCCTCTCCGTATTTCCTGTCACCGTCCTGAGCCATTAGTCACAGCCCCCTACTCCACGCCCCCACACCTCACTCTTACTTAGCAGTTCATCTCAGGCGTCACACTTTCTGGCGCCAATACCTTTCATGGCATCCTGTGACCTGTAACGAACTTGACCTGAGGCCTTCCAGACCCTCTGTCTCCTCGCCTGTCCACACCTGTCCCCCACCACCTCCATCAGGAGCCTGTGCAACCTTCAAAGCTCCTGCGCGTTCTCTCACCCCCGCAGTGCCTGTCCCACGACCTCGGGAGCGTCTCCCTGGCCCACCTGGTGCGCCTGCACCCGCCCGTCTTCCAAACGCGGCCCAGGGTGCCTCTTCCTGGTCCGTCTCAGTCCCAGCTGCCTACTCGGGCCGACACCGCCCGGGGCTACCCTTGCTCAGCACCTTCCACGCACCACAGTGACTCTGGCTCGCTGTGCATCCCCTTTGTCCCCACTCATGCCGGCAGAGGCCCTCTGAAGGCAGGGGCCGGGCCTCTGTCTGCTCTACAACCCCCAGAACAATGCTTTGCCTGTAGCTGGTGCTTCGGTCCTCTTTGAGGATGGACAGATGGATGAACAGATGAACACACAACTGCCCCGGCCCGGCCCCCCGGCCCAGCGTCCCCAGTCTCACCAATGGGAGTTGACCACCTTGCACAGGGCCAACTCACAGCACATGCGCAGGTTGGCCTGGTGCTCGGCCAGACTGGACGCCGTGCACTTGATGGGGTCGACCTCGCAGTTCTCCTCGGATTCGTACAGAGCACGGATGAACTCCCCTGGGGGTGGGGCACAACAGGGAGGGAGTGGTCACACTCGCCAAGGGCAGGGCCAGGGGGCTGCCTGGGTTGAAGGAATCGCAGAATCAGGTGGCTGGAGTTCTGGGGTTGTGAGGAAGGGTGGGCTTGGGGTTGGGGATGGCCGCGTTCGGGGCTGGGGGGCACGGGGCAGGTTTCGTAAGAGGACCTGGGACGGGCCATACCGATAGCATCCTTGAGGTATTTCTGACCAATCAGCCTCATGTACTCTTCTATGGCTTTAGTGGCAAGCGTGTTCTCGCGGAATATGAGGTGCTCCCGCTCCATGAACCGGTCTACCTCTGACATGGCCATGTCGGAAAGGAAGTCCTGGGGGCCCGGAGAACCCACGGGTCAGCCTCCGCGTGACCCAGTCTCGGGCATCCGTCCTGTCCTCGCCACCCCAGACTAGGGCGCGGCACCCACCTTGGCCTTGCCCGTGCTCTGCAGGATGTGCACCAGCGCGCTAGCCACCTCCTCCTTGCCCTTGACGTTCAGAGCAGGCTCCAGCACCGCGCACAGCATCCGGTAGTGGTTGGTGACGTACTCCGCGAACTCTTTGTACAGCTCCATGGGCAGGATGCTCATGGTCTGGTACCGTGCCTTCAGCCGCACTGCCGGGCAGCCTCCTTTGCCCTTGCCCCCGGAGCCGCCCCCGGAGCCCCCACCCCCGCCCGAGCCCATGCCCCCGGAGCCCCCGCTGCCCGTGGGCAGGGTTACAGGGTACCACTGCTCTGTGAAGTGGCGCCCGGCCAGGGTGGCCACCGGCACAGTCACCAGGCCGACATAGCCCGCCTTGTCCTTCTTGCGCTTTTTGTCTGAGTCACGGTACAGGTGCAGCCGCAGGGCTCGGACAGCCGGCAGGTTGTTAAACTCGAAATGCTCCCCCCAGAAGACGGTGTCCCCCGAGGCCGCGCGGGGCTTGGAGGTGGTGCGTGCGTAGAGCATGTCATCCAGGCAGAGCTCGCAGTAGTACCGCTTCTTGGGGGGCAGCTCCCGGGCCTCTATGATCCACAGCTTCAGCACATTGTCTACCCGGCGGCTGTTGTCCTGGCGTGGGGCGAGGGGGGGCAGGGTGGATTAAAGGGAAGGGGCCGAGGGACAGAGACACCAAAGGAGAAGAGACGGTGAGAAAGCGGGGTCAGCACAGCAATCATGAGGTTGGGAAGGTGTCTGGGGTTGAATGGTGTCCTCCCCTGAATTCACGTCTATTCGGCACCGGTAATGTGTGACCTTATTTGGAAACAGGGTCCTTGTAGATGTAATCATGTGAAAGATGAGAGCATTCTGGGTGAGGGTGGATGTGTAATCCAATGACTGGTATCCATCATAGGGAGAGAGGTTTAAAGAGAGACGCAGAAGGAGTAGGGGGTGCTGGCATGCGCCTGTGATCCCAGCACTCTGGGAGGCTGAGGCAGGAGGAGTGCAAGTTCCAGCTCAACCTGGGCAACTTAGCAAGACCTTGTCTCAAAGTTTAAAAAAATAATAATAAAAGGCTGGGGATGTAGCTCAACATGAAGGTGCTGGGTTCAAGAGCTAGGAAGAGACTAGGAAAGGCTATCTTTAGTACTTCAGAGGGAGCGTGACCTACAGACACTTTGATTTTGGATTTCCAGGCTCCCAAACTATGAGACAGTAAATTTCTGTTGCTTCATGTAAACCCGTTTGTGGTGATGTTTTATAGCAGCCCTAGGAAATGGATACAGGACAGTGGCTCCTAACTGGACAGCAGAATAAGTCGTGAGGAAAACAGCACAACAAAACCAAATATATTAAAGCAGAATTTAGCGAGGCGAATGGTAAAGTCACGGAGAGACAGAAACTGCAAATAATAACAAAACTGCACACAAATGCAGGGTGGGTGGGGGTTGAGAGCTCGTGTGAGGGGCCTGCAGGGCCGAGGCTCCTGGGCGGGTCAGAGACCCTGCACGTGTTGCTAAGGAGCCTGGAGTTTGGACTCTGTGAGCCAGGTCAGGTCCAGCATCTTAGGTAGAGTTCTTTTCTTGTTTTTGTTTTGGGGTCTTGGAGCTCATGACCTTCCTGCTGCAGCCTCCTGAGTGCTGGGATGATGGGCATGCACCACCATGCCTGGCTTGGGATAGAGCTCTTTAAGGACACTGAGAAGCCAGGCACGGTGGTGCAGGCCTGTAATCCCAGCATCTGGGGAGGCTGAGGCAGGAAGATCATAAATTCAAGCCCAGCCTGGCAACTGGGCAACCTCACAACTTGGAGAGACTCTGTCTCGTAATTTAAAAAGGGCTGGGCAAAGGCTCAGTGCAAAAGCCCTGGGTTCAATCCCCTGCACAGCAAGGAAGAGAA